ATAAAAAAATATAATAGTAAATAGTAAGGAGTTATCTTAACTAGTCTGATTAAATTTCAATTATTAATAAAACCTTTTGATTGGACTCGGGCATTTTTTATTATTCACTTACTTCATAAATTCAATAAATATGAATCAATCACTCAATTATAATGTCCCATTGTTGAAATTGTAGTGTTTCATTGTGCACATCAGAACGGACACAATGAAACATTTCCAATATGTTTGTTTTTATTTTTTTGCTAATTGATTACAAATTTATTTAAAAAAAACATAAATGACATCCGATACCTACCCAACTAAGTTAACTATGTAGCTTCAAAAAATTAGACTTGTATCTGTAAAAACAAAAGGTGTACGAGATATTGAATTGTTAGTGTTTCATTGTTGACACACAATTAATTATTATGTTTCATTGTTGAATTTGAGGTGTTTCATTGTGTACACAACAGTGGACACAATGAAACATTTCCAATTTATGTGAATTTATTTTTTTGCTGATTGATTAAACATCAATTAAAAAAAACATTAATGCCATCCTATACCCAATAAAATTGCCTACATACCTGTAAAAAATTAGACTTCTATCTATGAAAATAAGAGTTTTATGAGACTTTGAAATTTTAGTGTTTCATTGTTGAACACATGACCCTACTCTAATGGTGGAACATAAAATTGATAACGATAACATTTATCTTTGAAAACTAAATCTGTACCAAACATTATAAAACAGATTTTAAATGTTATAATTTTATTTATTACGTATAAATAAACTCTAACAAAATCAAAGAAATAACAAAAGCAGTTAAATTGATATTTCAGTTTTGCCACAAAAGATGCGCGTGCGTCTTTAACGAACCGTCACGCCCTTTGTGTGCGCGGGCGGCGGTTTCAGGAGTTTTCATGGCTCTACCGTCTACAAAAAAATAACTGTTACAGATAATTTAATGGTTAATTCAATCATCAAATACTTATTTCATTTTAGCTAGTTCATTTTACATAAATTAGTAGGTACATAAACTGTTCTTCACATTACTTAAATTAAAAAAAAATAGGTAGGTAGGTAGTAGGTTAGGTAGAAAAATTAGAGAAAGTTATTATTATGACTAAGAAACCATTATGCATTTATAAAACTATGCATATCAAAGTTTATGCTAAAAAACTTTATGCAAATACTGTTATGCCAAACTAAATTATGATGAAAAATGTTATGCGTCTGAGAGGGCACCCGTTCTGCACTCTGCGCATTTTCTAAACTTATTTGCTCTCATAAAAACAATAACTTTGTTTTCAGACCGTACATGTTGAAACGGTATAACTCTGTGATGTCCGAATTAACGAATGTTGTATTCGAAGAAAACACTAGTAACTGTCATCGGGGGACGTCAAAGAAACCAATAAATTACCGCAAAGAAAGATGTATCTCTTATTTCATGTGTCCGTCCCTTTCCCACTCACAGAGTTGTATCATGCTGTCTCTTCCCACGGCCAATTAGGGAGTCAAAGAGTGACGATTAATAAGTGTCGCTATCGATAAAGGAGTTGTCGGGAACCTTGTTAAAACATTATCTCGGCAATCCAGCTAATTCGATAGAATAGGATCAGCTACCGTATTATATTTTTGACGATAGTCCCTTGTATGAAGTGGTATTATGTAGATGATGGTGAGCATTTTGTCAAGATTATTGATAATTGCTTTAGATAAAATTTTTTGGTTATTATGACATCGCTTCAACTGTATAATCTAGTTTCTAATACTTTTTCCGAGAAATCGACGTTTTCTTCTGGAGCTGGGTATGTGTAATGTGGGTGAGCTTAAAAAATTAAAGCAGGATATAGGTACTTTTTACACACGATCTTGTGTGAAACCCAGAGAGCGAGAGCTAGCCCTTAATTGCGATTAAATTAATAATGCAAAATATCCAGCATCAATCGATATCGATGTGGACCGTCGCCGTACGTCACTAGCAATAAGACATCCGCTAATGTGTTGATCAGTCCTATATCATGTCCGTGAATAATATTTATAGCGAGCTTTATAGCGAGGATTGTTAGTTTACACCGAATTAAAGCAAATGGCGTTTATGAGCATGGCGCTGCGGGTCATTTGTGTAACGACGTAAACACGCTCGATAAAAACATTAAAAATGATAATCGGGCAGTATGGTGGAATTTTACTCTTAATTAACATTGGATTAATGAGAATGACCATTTTTATCGCACAAACAGAGTTCTACCTAAAACAAAAGTTATCCAGAGATAACATACAAATATAACAATTAATTTCCCCGTTTCTAAGCTAGTATTTTTTGTCAATAAAGAAGTCAAAAATATCAAAGAACCTGAAAAATACCTGTGGACAACTTCCAACTTAAAATGTGCCAAAGCCTTTGCCGCTGTAGGACTAATAGTTTTTACTAGCAATAAATTAATTAAGCTTTAGGACTAATAGTCCTATCTTACAGAGTTTCAGCGGCCGCCATAAGAACGAGTGGTGAAAATGCCTGTCTTTGTACTCGTTTTGTAATTAAATACAAAATAGGCACAAACCAAATTAACTTGTAGAGATCAAAACTGCCTGCCGGTTCAAACTATGCTGCAAAAGTTCCATCTAACAACGAAGTGCATAGTTTTCAGGAACAGTGGCAGTGCGCAGACGCCGCCGCGCTTTGATGTGCTTTGACAAACGCGCAGTATGGCCGCTTCAGCGAACTGGCCGACACGTGCGGAACGAGGGGGAGGGACTGGGTTATATTTGAGGACAATTTTTACAGAAGATGTTTAAATAAAATATGAATCGATTTACAACTCCGCCAGTAGCCCTGACTGTTGTAGTAACAAAGGAGGCGTTGACCAAAAATGCGATTAATTGTCAAGTAGAGCTATGAAGAAAGCTGTCAAATGAATTGATTGTGAGCTAAATGAACCGGTAAGAGCGATTTGGGATGTCTGTCTACCCCCAAGAAAATAGAGAAACGGCCTTTAAAGGTAGCGCGCAGGCGCTGGATGCAGGCTGCATCCAGTATTCTAATCGAAATCTTTAGGGGTACGTTACGTTCAAAACGCGACGTCCTGTGGCTGAAACACTGAAACCAGATTACATTATTGATGAAACAGAAAAACCTGATCACTATCAGTGATATCATAACACTAATCCATGCAAAACCCCCAACAAACGGAAGCTAGACGCCACCGTTCCACTCGCGCGCACATGTGCGGCCCCGCCCACCACAAAGGCGCCGACAAAAACCGTCATTAGGAACTGGACATGTGGACAGCGCTGCTCAGGGTTAAAATTGAAGTCTACTGAATGACCACTTGTTAATGTCCATGGCTTTTTTAAAAGAATACTTATTTATGTTAGACAAACACGACTTTAACGTCAATTAGAACTAGATAGGTGAATTTTCACACTGAAACTGAATTCAGTTGGTGGAAACCTTCAGCCATAACGACGCGACGGAATCATTTATTCATACCAGCAATACACATTGAAGTGTCGTGGAGTAGCATTATAATGAGATTATGGCTAGGTAAGTGTCAAGCCAGTTTCAGTTTTCCTGAAAAATAAGATGTTGGAAATAATTGGTTTGGCCTTACTATACCTACATTATAGTAAATTGTTACAGGAAATTAATATTAGTGAAATTAATATTAGTTTATAGAGTTCCGGCTTAAATAGGTTTTGATTTTAAATCAGTTCACTGTATTAGTACACTGATTTCATATTAGGAAAGTTACATATTATTCAGTATGCGCATTTGATCTTCAGATTTCGTTTTTTGCAAAATTTAATAGAATTTTTAAATCAGTTGTGGCAATGACTTAAAAAAGTGACTTGTGTACTAACATAAAAATGCGTTTCAGGTACAAAACCATAAAAGTATGAATTAAAATTAAATAACGAAGGCACTGCTGAATGCAGGCCGCTAGTAGACGGTCAATATGGAAATCATTTTGGGAGGCTTATGTTATTCAGTGGTTACTGTGTTTGAAATGATAATTCATTAAATTACACCTCTAAATGATCAAGTAAAAAGATTTTCAGCGGCTATTTCCATCGCGTTTCCCCGTCGGCGCGAGCGCATCCATCAACCGTTTTGTGCGAGCGCAATTTGCGCGTGCACGAGCGGGGAGTGACACATCGAAACTGATTTATAACACGCTTTATTTGGTTTTACCCCTTGGCCGTTTAGTTGTATTTGTAGCTAATTAAAAAGCTTTCTTTTTGTCGTGTCGTTGTAAGTTTAAAGCGTTTCAGTCCTTGTTATTTTAAGGTGAAAACAATTAATTAAGTTATTAGCAGAAAAGTAACTCCCATACCGTTAGTCAAGAACAACTTTATAAGTACGTCAATTAAAATTAGTTACGTGGGAAAGGCGAACACTAATTCTCAGGTAGACAGAATGAAACGCACGTATTCCGAAGGTTTATATTAAGAATACCTACCTAGGTATAGGTAGGGCACTTGCGCTAAATACAATAGTATTTAACTCAATGCATTAATTAACGCGACAGTTAACTTATTCCTCTGCCAAATGTATTTATCACGAGCCCTAATCTAGCGCAATTCGCAGCAACAAGCCGTTCGTCAAATTTCTTTCGGACGTTTCCCATTTATATCGTCTATGTAATAAATGGACAGAGGAATGTGGTAATTATTTGCACGGACATAATTTACACCGTCATTAAATATTGGACGGCTTATTAGCCAATAACAGCTGATAGAACTCGAGGGGCTGGGCCTAGCCTAATTATAAACCAGTGGGCTAATTCAAATGCATCTGTCTAGAGTNGTTTACCCTAATTCTTATAATAATATTTGTTAATTATAGCTTTCTTGAAATAAGAATGATAAAAAGAGTCCAATTTGTATAGGTTAATTTGTATAAAGGTTTTTTAGCATTCCCAGCGTAGAATCGGCCCCATTGTCTATGATTTATGTGGCCCCACTCGCAATCCGAAATGGCAACACTACTTCACAAATTAAAAAACTAATCTGTCAATTTGACAATTGTCTATGGTGAAGCGAATTTCCAACATTTCCTTCGTGTTAATTTTACAAATTACGATAAAATTTAGCGATTATTATAATGATTCACTTCAAAGATAGTAAAAATAAATCCGCGTTGAGTACAAGATGGGCTCAAATGTCGAAACAAGAGCAAATAATCGAGAGAAAGAAGATGGAGATCCAAGCCAAAGCGGAGGCACAGAAACAGGCTGCCGCTCTCGCTGCACAAGCGAAATTGACCAAGTAATGATTTAATTATTTAGCAAACACTGTTTATTCGCAATTTCCTTTAAAACAATTAACTTTCCAGTAATGCTAATTTTGCTAAGAACTACCCACATTCAGGTTATTGTTAAGATGTTCTTGTGGTTCTTTCCAGTTTACTTTGTCTGATTCTATTCTTCCATGTTTTTCTCTAGGAGTAAAATGGCTAGAAAATAACTTCTAGTCTTACCTGTAGACGTTTTTAATACTTGTAGGTAAACTTGAGGTAAACCAATAGAAGACACTAGTTTTAATGTCATGTCACTACAATAGACTTTGGTCACAGCTTGAAAAAAATAAATCTGAACAAAATTATGATTTTTCAGCCCTCTATAAAATTAACATTGTCTTCTCTGCCCCTTTTTATTAACTTCTAATAATTACAATTTTAATTTAATTGTATCTTAGTAGGTAGGTGATTTGAATAAATAAATAATTATACTTACCTCCATTATCTTTTGATTATTTCCTTGATTGAAAACCGATTCAATTCTCATGACAACTAATAAAGCATGACCTTGATCGTAACATAACCATTCTGTTAAAATTTCCAGTCCTTCAACGTCAGAAGACAAAAATTCTGCAAATATCTTTTCTAACGATGGCAGCTTCATGAGTCAATTCAAGGCCCTCCTCGAAAAACAACAGCAGGAAAAGAAAGAAAAGGAAGATAAAGAAAAAGAAATAGAAATGGAAAAAGAAAGAGAGAAACAACTGGAGGAGGAAAAATTGAACAAAAAACCAGTTAACATAAAAGCGCAAGTGGAAGCTTATATGTCTGATTTTAAAGGACATGAACCGGAACACTTGACTTATGATCAAGATGAACGAAGGAAACCAAATGACCGGGGACCTCGGTATGTTATCATTTTATTTTATTGTGAAAACATTCTCAGCTTTTATAAGTACATTAAGTTTTTATTCAGAAATGTTTATCATTTACCTATCCCAAAAGGCTTCTCTTTTTTCAACCTTTTCCTAATTGTTTTTCTATTTATAGGGAACGGCACAGGAATAGATGGAGTGACAGAAACAGAAATAGGCCACATAGTCCCATGACACCCGTAATAGAGGACCGAAAAAAACAAACTGACAAATCTATCCCACCACTCATGCAGCTCTCTGTTATGCCTCCTGATGAATCTAATTCCGAATCCAGTAACCGTCCACCATGGATGCAGCATGATTCAGATTCTAAAGACGAATCTGAGCATTCAGACTCTGGCAATGGCAACATGATACCACCTAGCCCTATGGGTCATGGGCCCATGGGACCTGGACCTATGGGACATGGTCCTATGGGTCCTGGCCCGATGGGACCTGGGCCAATGGGACCAGGTCCAATGGGCTCAGGACCGATGGGACAAAGACCAATGGGACCTGGACCAATGGGTCCTGGCCCAATGGGTCCCGGACCGATGGGGCCTGGTCCCATGGTGCCTGGACCGATGGGTCACGGACCAATGGGTCACGGGCCCATGGGGCCTGGTCCAATGGGTCCCGGTCCAATGGGTCCCGGACCAATGGGGCCAGGACCAATGGGCCCCGGCCCGATGGGGCCAGGTCCTAACATGGGTCCTGGTCCAATGATGCCGCCAGGTGGACCCGGTGGTCCAATGCCCCCATTCATGGGTGGAGGGCCGCCCAATTTTCCTATGCCGCCTAATTTTATGGGACCTAATGGCCCTGGTGGTCCTTGCGGTCCCGGGGGTCCTATGCCTCCTAATATGTGCGGCCCTAACATGCGTGGGCCTGGTCCTAATGGGCCTATGCCACCTTTCTTTGGTCCGCCTTTTAATCCGAATATGATGGGGCCTAATGGCCCTCCAAACTCCATGATGCCTCCTAATTCTATGAACAATAACAACATGCCATTTATGGGCCCTCGTCCACCATTCGGGCCCAATGGTCCTAATTTCGGCCCGCCTGGAAGTGGACCACCCCCTAACATGCCTCCATTCGGACCAAACACTCCTATGCCTGGTCGCCCAATGCCAGAAAAGCCTTTAGATTCTGACTCCAAGAAAATCCAGAACATTCCGCCAATGAGTCACATGTCAAAGTCAAAAGATGAAAATGGGAACGCTCCACCGCCGCCTAAGTCCTCACAAGGTACCAATCATAATATCTTTGTCTATTAATTTATGCCTTTGTAAGATTATTTCTTGTTTATTTGAGAAGTAATAAAACAAAGGCAATCTTTCTTGTGTGTATATCTATTGCAAAATAAAGTTCTTTGATATGTTGAATAAATGGTACCTACATAATACAATATTATTACGTTCTATTGCTATCTGAAACGAAAGAAGCAAATTGCTTTATTGTAAATTGAACTTAATCTCAAAATTTGCTAATGTGCAGCATTAGCAGGATTTGTAAAAGCATCTGCTTAAATTATTTTTGGAGCTGAAATCATTGGCCAAAACAATTACTGAGCCATGCAGCCTTATTATCTGTTGCTATAATGCCAAGAAAAAAAGAACATTGTTCTATAGTCTGGTCTGCGAGCACGTAGAATTTTGTCCAATGACCCCAAGCTACCCATCCTTATCGCTCGCGCGTAATTATGTTGCTGTCGCGCTCGAACACTCACTGCGGGCGCCCGTCGCACAGTCGCGACAGCAATATAATTAAGCACGAGCGATAAGGATGGGTAGCTTGGGGTCATTGGACAAAATTCTACGTGCTCACAGACCGGGCATAACCATTGAATGGTTTTATTAGCCTAAAAAAAAGACATATCAGGGAGCTTACAATGGCGAGTCTCGGTGCAAGCATAACTCCGTAGTATCGTTTGCCCGAGCGTGGGGTGCTCGCGTGGCCGATAGACACAATGCTGACTCGTGGTGTGCAGTTCTTTCTGCAGATATGTTCCCGCCCTCAGTCCAGCGAGCTGCTGCCGATGTCGCCTGCAACGGCGACCACTGGGAAAACGTCCTGAAAGCCATACACTCACAAGACCAAAATATGTGGTAATGCCACTAACCACAATCCCAAACCGGAGGATACGTTCTGTATTCATTTTTGTATTATTCATTATTGCCTTGAGTGGAATCGAATTTTACCTAAAAGCTTCCTGCACTAGTTTTAAAGTTAGCGTAACGGTTCCACTGGCACGTTCACAGGTTTACATTACAAAATCCTTTTTTGTTTTTTTTTGTTCGATGGTGTTTATATGCGAGTGTTCTTCCAGGTTCCTTCATAATCCGAAATCTAGTGAGTACAACGCGTTCAGGGATCTGGTGGCCAAATACCGCAGGGAGCAAGGCGAGACGAAACCAGAGGTGAAGCCTGAGGATCGATATGAACCGGAGTTCAGTTTGGAGGATGATGACAGTAATGACAGCAAACCGGCTATCAAGCAAGACATCCGTGATGAGTATGTGAAAAAGTCTCATTGAATTTTTTACTGCTCGCTTTGCTTTATCTAATAATTTTAGGGTAAATCTGAAGGAGATCTGAAGTCTCGCTGATGTTTGACGTTACAAAAACGCCCTCCAGTGCCATTCCCATACAGACCTATAATCTTAATTTGTTGGCAAAATCCTGGATTTCAGTATTTAATATTTGTCTCAAAGGACTAGCAGAGCAAAGAATATTTTATGAGATATACAGGGTGGAAACGATAAGTGATCTCATTCGATTATTTCTAAACTATACAAGATATCGAAAAACTGGTTACTGATCCTGAAAGTGCTTCACGAGCTCTATCCAACGGTACCAAAATAGGCTACAGAATTAATTGGATCTATCCGAAAATTAAATGTTTTCAGCCTCCATACTAAATGTATGCCAGCCAAACAAAATTAGAAGTATTGATTTTTTTTATTAAACAATAAACACTTAAAATTAACTCGTAAATTGTATTCTTATTTAAAATTATTCATGGAAAACATTGATTTTAGGCTTTACTTGCTATAATATTATCAAGACATGAGTGCCATGACTGTGGCTGTACTAAATGTATGGAAGCTGGAAACATTGAATTTTAGGATGGATCCAGTTAATTTTGTAACCTATATTGGTATGGTTGGATAGAGCTCGTGAAGCACTTTCAGGATCAGTAACCAGTTTTTGAACATCTTGTATAGTTTTTAATATTATGGTGGTTTTACTAAATGTATGGAAGCTGGAAACATTGAATTTTTGGATAGATCCAGTTTATTATGTAACCAATTATTGGTACCGTTTGAAAGAGCTTGTGAAGCACTTTTAGAATCAGTAATCAGTTTTTCGATATCTTGTATAGTTTACAAATAATCGAGTGAGATCACTTAACGTTTCCACCCTGTAGATGTTGCTGCAAGGCAACTTCTTTTTTTACTTTATCATCGTCTCATCTTCTTTTATTTATTTTTATTATAAAAAATACTGTATATTTTTGCAGTAGCAACCCCGATTCCTCTGCGCACTACATGATGCACTTCAACGCGATGAAGCGAGAAGCCAGCTCGCAAAGCGACGAGGAGGCCGAAAGCAAGCGAGACGCGAAGAAACGCAAAAGGAAGTCGAGGTGGGGAGATGACCCCCCAGCGACCGATATCAAACCCCCAGGGGTAATGGCCGTTTTGCCCCCAATGCCTCCGGGGGTGCCAGGTGCTATGCATGGCATGGGTAAGCGGATTTTTTGATTTGAAATCAATAAATGTTGTGCAGCTGTGAGTCCATAATATCTCCTGTTTTGATTATTTCTTGAATTAGTTCAATAACTGCGGCGCATTTCAAAAAGCATCGGGCTCATTAAGTTATAAGAATCCGGCTCATTAAGTTAAATGAAAATGTAACTAACTAAACACCTACCAACTTTTAAATATCTCAGATCTTCTGAGCCTACCTCTCATATTATCTTCCTTTCTTTTTAACCGATTTCCCAATGCATTGCATCGTTGTTGTAAATGTATGAGGATCGAAGATAAGAACCTAATGGGATTTTGTAATCACACTTATTTTGACTTATTCTGGTGTTTTTTTGAAGATTGTCATGTCTTTTGTATTTCTCTCATTTAATTGTTTACTTTAAATTCCCAATAGTACACCGTTATTCTCATTCATGTTTTAAAAAATAGCTATTTTTGGGATGTAATAATTTTTCTTACCAGGGTCACTGCTATCTTGAAACTGATTGTTTCCAATCGGTCATCACATCATCTTCAACGCAGTGGTAAATCGATGTAACACAGAAGCGGAGACAGTTCTAAAACCAACATATTTCACTTTCAGGACCGTCTCTAGCAAAGATAGACGAAGATGGACTGAAATTGACCAATGTGAACCGCAACAACAAGGAGTTGATGCAGTACGCCATGACAAACTATGGCACTACTGATCTCAGTCCCGAAGACTGGAAGAAATGCGAGGATAACTTTAAACTTAATCTTTTATATCAGGTAAATAAAAATACAAATCTTTTATTCAGTGCTTATGCCCTTTCCAGATTGACTGATTTCAAAGAGTTAACTTAAAAATTTGGGATTGATGGTGAAAACGGGCATAAATGCTCGGGTTCATAACTTGATTTTGATTTCAATCTTATTCACCTCCTATCATGTTGAAGTAACACGGTGACGATTGTAGCTCAATCAATGGGCCTAATATTATTCTGGTAGCTCAATCAATGTGCCTGATATTATGATATTTGAACTTATAGGAAAGATCCTATAGGAAAATGTGCGCAAGAATTACACGAACTAATTCCACCAGCCCCCTTCCATTTCCATTCCCACCAGACGCAGGTTAACGTGCCATCCCTATATTCCACCAGCTCGCACTAAGCGTTTCGATGCCTCTTTTATAATGCGAACAGCTAGGGACTGGAATTCGCTGCCTGCTGCTGTCTTTCCAGATATGTACCATCCTAGACAGACTGCATCCCACTTAACACCAAGTGCGATTGTGGTCAAATACCTGCCTTGTTATAAAAAAAGTTATATTATTTTCTCAGGACATGTTGAAGAAACGCCAGCAAGTGGAGAGGCTAGCTGCTGCTGGCAAACACAAGTACGAGTACGACAGCGATGAAGACACGTCCGAAGGCACTTGGGAGCATAAGTATGTCGCTTCTGTAATTACAGGTCTTTTTGTCTTGTCGTGTCGACAACAAACCTACACAGTGTCAGCCCAAAACTCACAAGAGTGGCGTTGTCAGTAGCATTTATTAAATCTTTCTGCGTGAAGTTGTTTGGGAACGCAGGGCACGATATCATGTGCTTCATCGACTGGGGATCATAACCACACTTGCACTCCAAGTTTGAACCACCTGAGAATCCCCACCTGCACAGATTGTCCTTACTACGGCCGACCTGCGTCCGTATTACAGCATTACAGGTTTCTTGATATAAAAGAAGTAGGGTCATGTACACTCAACATCAAATAAACCGCACCTTCCGCGACGCGAACTTTAAAGATTTTCTTCTGACACAATCATGGTACCCCAACAATATTGGTGTTATTTGAAAGCCCAATAAATATCCTTAAAGAAAAACACATTCAATTTCTTAATAAACATACCATATACAATAAATGTGACTTGAAAATAGACCTCACTTTGGGCTCACCTCTGGGATCAATTAGACCAATTTTTATGGTTATAAAACCAAATAAAGATCTCACGTGTCCTCTTTAACAGATGGATAGCGATTAATCCCAACTTAACAGTTTTATAGTAATAAAAAATGGCTATAGCGTAACTACCTATTTTTTGAAGAAGTGTCTCTGGATCCTTGTAAAGACACATTTTTGGGGTAAAAACCTTTCCTTTAATGAAATGAAGTATAGAACTAGGCTTACAAATGGTACCAATGTTGGTGGGAAGTGGGGATTCATACGTTTGATAAGTGCTTGTCGCGGGAGGTGCGATTTATTTGATGCCGAGTGTAGATGTTCAGTGTTAAATAAATATTGGTTAAAAAGAGCGCTAAGAGCATACTGGGATCTCCGATTTCTTCAAATTTTGAGTTGGCTAGCTCGAAGAGTATCGATGGTCGAATCCTCCATTTGCCTCTAGTAAATTAGAGAGAGTAATTGTAATTGTTTTGTTTTCAAGACTCCGCGCCAAAGAAATGTGCGCGACAGAAAGGTGGGCCGACGAACTCACGAAGCAAGCCGCCGGTAAACATCACATTGGAGACTTCTTGCCACCGGAGGAATTGAAAAAGTAAGTATTGAAGAAGTACATATTTTATAATAAATCTTACTGCTGATTTTCGCGAATAACAGAACCAATACCGATACCAATACCAACCAGGTGAGATTGCGGTCAAATACCTTCCTTCTTATGCATAAAAAAATACATGAAACAGCCAAAAGTAGGATATTAATAAATAGCTGATGTTTTGTGTATTTTATACAGTGGGATATAGTTCCCTCCCACCATATTATGAACGTCTTAAGGTCCAAAAATAAAAATATATTGACTGTTTATGCCCGTTATAGGCTCGAAAGCTCACTGGGTGCAATTTCATAGATTTGGTTTGGTTGGATTTCAAACAAGTAAATTGAGTCTAGGATTGTAATACGGGCATAAAACCCTTTCAGAACAGAAAGTTGAATTCTTGAAATGTTTAATTTGCAAAATGATTAATTCCATAAAAGTTGAATTTGCAAAAGTAACAATAGCAAAATGATAGTTTGCAAATCACTATAAACTCGCGTTAAGTGTTAGTGGGATCGATAAATTAGTTTAGCTAAAACGCATCGTTTTCATTACAGGTTTATGGAGAAATATTCTGCAGTCAAAAGTGGGAAGGAACCCGATCTCAGCGATTACAAAGAATTCAAATTAAAAGAGGATAACGTTGGTAAGTTTCATTTTAAAAATTAATAGGTTTTATGGTAGGACTAACGGGCAAATAAATCCTTATGTATTGTGTTACAGGGTTCAAAATGCTTCAAAAGCTTGGCTGGAACGAGGGTCAAGGTTTGGGCGCCGAAGGAACTGGTATAGTCGACCCTATTAACAAGTAAGTGTTAATTAATAACAATATGCAGCTATTTGTTCTTATTTATATTGCATATGAGTATTTCTCAAAAAAAATGTACGTAACGAAACGGTAGTAACGAAATAGTAAGGCCATAAGGCTTGGTATACATTGGCGAAATATTGTGAATGCTCTTCATTTATTCAATTCGAAATATTTGTAAGTATGCACCCAAATACGGGGTAATATTAAGGGGTTAGAAATAAAATAAGGGAGTAATCATTCATACAATTTTAATAAAATTATTTTTGTTTCATCATGTTTATCCATTTTGAGTCGTTCTCTGTAAGCTTTTTGCCTTTCGGCATTGGTTTTTGGCGGCATTCCTAAAAAAACAAAAGAAGTAATCACATAAAAACGTAATCTAAATGATTTGATAATTTTTTGCTGGTGGCACTTCTGTAAAGCAGATAGTATCCAATCCTTTTGTTATTAACGCTCTATATTTTTTGAAATAAATTAAGTAGTGAATATTACTATGCTTAGTCAGGTAATAACAGTATACACTCAGCATTATGTTGTACTTTTTCGTAACGTAACGAAATTCGTAAAAAACGTAACGAAATATTAGACAAAATGAGATCAGAAACAAGTATTTTTTTGATAAAATTTGTTACAGCAAATATAAAAGCTTACTAAATGTTCGTACCACACGTATTACAAAAAATGGTTAAATGAAGACTTACCGTTCTATATAAAATCGCTGATTTTACTGCCTGTTACGAAAAAGTAATCCCACAAAACACACACGTTTTCACTAATTTTCGCGATAGATGTTATGGCGGAGACGTCAGGCCAACAGCCATTCAGAGTGCAGCTATTGTTGTCCGTGTAAAATAAATACGGAATTGTTCAGAAACCATGGGAAAGTAGAAATAAATCGTAACTAAAGAGTAAATAACGAAATAGTAAATGAGAGCGACTCATTTTGTTTTTTTGCTTTAAATTGCCAATTCATTATGACACCCCATAGAAAATCAATTTGATACAGAAACTGCGATTACTGTAGAACGATAATACAAAGAAATTTACAATAATTTAGTTACGTATCGCATTTTATGAAACAAAAATACATGAAAAAGCTAGGGTGGCAAACAGGTTTTTGTATGAAAGGTAAAAAAGGACTATTTTTAAAATATCTAAATATTTGGTAATAAGTAGGATTATAGCTATAATTCTTCGTTATCTTAAAGATTAATAGTCATCCTTCAAAATTGTGTGTGTGTTTTTATTGTGTGATGATTTATAAATATAAAACTTTTGAACTGTTTCAAAGCACACTTTTTTTTTTCAAAATGTACATTTTTTTTTGAGAAATACTCATATAATTTTTAAATTTCAAGCATTGAGGTTGAATTAATGGTACTTTTATCTTTAGAATTAGTAAACTTTAAGCTGATGTGTCTTAAGAGCATTTTGAAGCTAAGCATGATTGTGTCCCAGCAAATTTTATTATTTGTATTCGGTTAATTTAGACTTAGTTTAATGTTAGCATTAAAATATGTTTTAAGATTCCTTTTTTATATTAAACTGGTCCCAACACCATACCCTGAGGAACACAGATTCTTAATTATTGTGTTGTAGATGTGCTCTCGTTGTTTAGCTTAGGCTGGGTTGTACCATCTTATTTTAACTTTAACAAACGTCAAAAATCTGACAAACTCCATAGAAAAAACACCGGTTATCGTTATACTAACGGTTAAACTTAGATGGTGCGACTCAGCCTTAGAAATTAAATCTGTAAAGAAGAACGGTCATCTGTGACCCAGGCCCGACAGAAACGAGACATACCTCAGTTTTTTTGTCATGTCTTAATTAGTTAAATTATATATTTTTTATATTCGAAATCTATGTATAACACCAAAATATTACCCTTTGTTTTTGTTCAGGCGTTATACAAAAACTAATACAAAATACCTATTTATCACCAAAATTGGTAAATGTATGTACCTAAATGTCTATTACAGCTGCTATGGAATGTATCTAGGTGACCTGGAGATACAGCCGGATTATACAGGGTGGTTATACATATGGAACGATAAGTGATCTCACTCGATTATTTCTAAACTATACAAGATATCGAAAAACTAGTTACTGATTCTGAAAGTGCTTCACGAGCTCTTTCAAATGGTACCAATAATAGGGTACAGATTATGGAAGCTGGTAACATTGAATTTTTGGATTTTGTAACTTATTATCTTTTCCACCCTGTATAATCCGGCTGTATCTCCAGGTCACCTAGATACATTCCATAGCAGCTGTAATAGACATTTAGGTACATACATTTACTAATTTTGGTGATAAATAGGCATTTTGTATTAGTTTTTGTATAACGCCTAAACAAAAACAAAGGGTAATATTTTGGTGTTATACATAGATTTCGAATATAAAAAATATATAATTTAACTAATTAAGACATGACAAAAAAACTGAGGTATGTCTCGTTTCTGTCGGGTCTGGGTTTTTTTTGTATGGGGCGTGACCGTTCTTCTTATATGGGCAGTTTTATAATAATAAGATAACTTTTGTACTATTTTATTGTGCAATAAAGTTGAATAATAATAATAATAACTCTTCCATGAATTGGGTTTGTACTTTAGGCGAGGCATACGGTATAAAAACGAAATGCATGTTTATTTTACCGTTTATGATATTACAAGAAGCTTGAATCAATTATTTGATACGATAGCTGATTCTACGCTTCTTCAACTAAAACTCACACCGAAAAGTGGAAGAAAATATTTTTTCAGCAAGATGGCGGGCACAAACAATACAGGGTGAATTTTAAAGTGTGCGTGATTGGTCAAATCCTAAACGTAAACTTAAATAAATTGCGAAAAATGGCAGTTATTTTGTCTAATTTTGAGGACAGCTAAAACTACACTGCATTTTGCATTCAATTTATTATCCTAATCAGGAATTTTCTGTTTTGAGAAGATCGATTGTGTTAACTTAAAGGGAGGCTGTAATCTGCTAAAAACTTCATATAATTTGATCCTTGTGAGATTTATCGACTAGTGTATTTTTTTCTATGCAGCTAAGTGTTTTGTTTCAAAAATTGAAAATTAAAGTGGTTAGTGTACTAAATAAGTCAAAATAGAAATGATATAACATTTTTCGCCATTTTGTACAGTTTCGGGTTTGCCCAACTGCGTAAACATAAAAAAATTCACCCTGTATATTTTTTTATCACCAGGGCGAATCAGCCAGTAGCGAATATGGGTCTGGGTGCGTCCGCGTCAGATATCGTATCTCCGGAGGACGACGAGTTCGACGCGTATAGGAAGCGAATGATGCTGGCCTATCGCTTCAGACCAAACCCTTTGGTGAGTTGACTGTATATCATCATCATCTCAGCCATAGGACGTCCACTGCTGAACATAGGCCTCCCCCAATGCTTTCCATGTTACCCGGTTGGTAGCGGCCTGCGACCGACGACATCATAAAGGTAGCAGGAAAGCGCTGACGGTATAGATCATACACAATAGGGATGTTTCCTGAGTTAAAAAGCAAGAGTTTGAATTAGTCCGTTAGTTAACTTATCAAAAAATACTCGACACGAATTTTTCAGTTTTTCAATCTAATGAAAATTGGCAGAGATAAAGCGCGCCAAAGTTCAAAAGAAGAGGCCCGTGACGTGGTTAAAAGTCTCACGCGGTACTTCAACGCACCATAAGGCGGTTATCACACTGCGCCGCGCTTCGCCGCGGAGCGCGTGATTTCATATAAAAAATACCGCGCGCAGACGGGTTGTCAGTGTGTTGTGCCGCGCGTGTTTTCTATACAAACAGGTATTTGCATACAATGATTAAATCTGTCGTCCCGCGTACCGCGGCGGAGCGCGGCGCAGTGTGATAACCGCCTAACTTCGTAATTATTTGTTTGATTGACGAATAAAAATATACATGGTCCAATATTTTTTGATAATCTGACGAACTAAAAGTATCGGAATTCGGAAATTATCGAACATTAGCTACCTAACTGAGGTTATCAGATAGGTGACCATTCAGACCATATTTTGTGCCATTTCTTGCTATCATTTTCATGCTTTGTCATCATTTTATTATTATTAAGTAATCATCTATTTTATTTTTTATTAAATTCATATATTTTTAATGATAGATCGTTTCATCCAAGAAGACGGGCCCCTACAATGTTTGGTCGAGGGAAGCGCGGGGTGCTGGGAGTTTGATCCGAGCAATCCGAGCGTCATTATTGTAGTGTGCTTGTGCACACTGCACTCATGAATAATTTAGCGTGTACCGATAATACTCAAACATTAGCGGAAGAATGGTGGGGCGCGTCTTCGTGGATGAAACGATATCGCACGTTCATAATCAAACTGTCACTATACAAAAAAGTCGATTTTTCAGGAAAAGCATTTGAAATACTCAAATTTTAAAACCTTTGCAAAGTGTGCAAAATGTTCTTAAATGTTTTGTTTTTTGTTAAATACCAGTAGTGGCTTGTTTGGCTTTTACGGGAATATAATTATCTTTCAAATTATCATAATGGTTTATTTAATATTTAATTTTTTCCCTAAAAATAGTGTCACTTTTCCACTAAAATTGAGACAGTGACAGTTTTCAATTAAAAACATGTTAATGTTGTATTATTAATTCCGGTAGAAATGTCACTATTTTCATATAAATTTGATGATGAAAGATTAAAAAATGATTATTATTAAATAAAACTAACATAGAAAAATCAGTAATTTTAATGAACTTAAAACTTTATAATTTGGATTAAGTGGTACCTATGGTAACGGTAATAAATGTAAATTCTCGATCAGAAATAAATACGTTACACACATGAAATTACTATAAAATTACATCACATAAATCAACTTCTTAAAAAATAAGGTACTCTTTTGTTCAGGCAGCCTTTAAACAACAAGAACTTGATGACCTCGATGAACTTGACGAACTAGATAGTGATTTTTCATGGGAAAAGGGCTCAGAGAAGTAGGTTTAAATTCTGGATCATTATCCAGCGGCCATTACCTCTGCGAGCTATGTGCCCCGGCCACTGCCACTTGATTTTAGCGATTCTGCGGGCTATGTCGGTCACTTTGGTTCTCCTGTGGATCTCCTCATTTCTGATTCCATCACGTAGGGAAACTAACTGAGCATCGCACGCTCCATCACCTTTTGGGTGACCTCTCAGATCCATAAAATATCACTGGCAACACACACTGATCAAAGACTTTTGTCTTGAGGCACTACGGTATTTCGGACGTGAGAATATCATTAAGCTTCCCGAACGCTGCCCAGCCGAGTTGGATTGACGATTGACCTTTTTCTCGAAGTTGGACCTACGTAACTGGACTGTTCGTCCCAGGTAGACATAAATTGTCAACAAACTTTCGAGAGTAGAGTCTCCAGATGAGTGGATACTACATGGACATTTAGGCCATCGACTTAGGCCATCGAGCATTATGCCTAGATCTTCCACAGTCTCAGCCATGATTACGACATCGTCCGCAAATCGAAGGTGGATGATATACTCGTTGATATTTATGCTGAATCCGCTCCAGTCCAGAAGCTTGAAAACATCTTCCAGGGCGGTGTTGAACAGTATCGGAGATATTATGACGTGTCCCTGTCTCACCCCTTGCTGCAACTGGATGAGTTTCGAGTCCTGATCCTGGAGACGAACCGACATTGTGGCGTTTTCGTACAAGCCTTTCAACACTTCGATGTATCTATAGTCAATTTGGCACCGTTGGAGAGACTGTAGCACTGCTCAGATCTCGATCGAATCCAAGGCACTTTCATTTCTTTATAGTTACTTTTGTGAAGCCTCAATGTAACCTTGTTGGTGATCGAATAAATAAATAAATAGTCCACAAACGCTAGATAAAGTAGTAATTACCTTGATAATTTCTTTTATTTTACTAGTGTTTGGATTGACTGGTGGCATTTTTGTTAGCTTTTAAAAAAAAATAACTACTTAATCATTTAAAAATCTTTCTTGTTGTTTTAATTAATATTACACAATTCGGATAAACACAATATTCTACGAAATGATGGAACAATCTTCTTAAAAATGTAAGAGAAATATTGTCATTTTTTGTTTTAAGGCGTTTTTCGTATTACTTTATTGTGACTTATCTTAATGATTTGGAGTAAAAGCGTCTTTATGCTAAAAATGACGTTTTTCAACACAGAGTCCACATAACTATCACGGCGTGCCCGTCCAGTTCCCGTCACTACTAAAAACGTGTCACTGTTACTCACAACATATGCCGGTTTCCCCATTAAACTCCATAACGACACTAGTGATATCTGCCGAACTATTTGAGTTTTAAGCGTGGGATTTTTACAGCATGCACTTTTCGCGGAGCTCTGATAGATGGTGTTGTTAACTCAATTTCTCCCAATTTCGTATAGTGACGGTTTGATTATGAACGTGCGATTATATAGTAGTTTTGAGATGTTGTGAGCTTAACCCTATATTTGGGAGAGGCCTTTGCTCTGAAATGGGACATGTTGCATTTTCTTGTTTTATGTCAATTTCGATTTATTATTATAAAGAAAACCACACGCGCCATCTTTTTCGCTTTTTTCGAACCTACTTTCGCTCATTGTCGTGTGATTTCAATGTGTAGTATGTCTACAGTCACAAGCAAAAATCTGTAAAATAATTAAACTATGCAGCGCTTACATACTGCGTTACTAAGCGCTGTAAGTTTAAATTCAAATTAAAATCATATTTTTGCACGTGACTATTCTATGGGCTAATACATAGTTACAATGTGTAGGTACTTCATTGTTACTCCTTCCGCGTCTCGCCCTTATTGCTTTGCATGATTCTTTATTGGTTAGTTGACACCAACCACAATCAATTATCATTTCAAAACTCCATCTAATTGTAGAGTTAACCGAAGGGTTTTTTTTACTAAAATCATGTTTTTGGAGAAATTATTTTTGGTTAATAATATGGTGTCAACTATGAAATAGTTATCATCATTTTAAAGTTTTCATATCGTTTCGTAATATACAATTTTGTCATTTGGGTTGAATTACAAGTGGTTTCTATAACGGGGAAGTTAGATTCAATATACAGGTTGTCCCGAAATTAGCACGTCACACAGTGCGACGTGCTAATTTTGGGACATCCTGTATGTATCTTGATGTTTTTCTGACAAAAGAAAACCGAAAGTGTTGTATACCTAATTTCGTTTTGAGTATGCATAAGCCGTGTATATTTGAAATCTTATTAAATATTAACAATCTTATAATTTTTATTGTCCTTTTTTCAGAACAACCCCAGACGCCCCTACTACTAGCACATAAGGATACGTATGTTCACTTAGATAGCTTAATGTACTTTTTATTGTAACTTAAGTAATCACAATAGAATTTAGTAATGTTTTCATATTGTTAAGGTTCTATAGACTTTTAATAGAAGCTAGTTGTACACGCTACACGTTTTACGGCTACATGTTCAATTTAAAAGTTTTGGTAATTAAAAATGTATATGAAATTAACTCACACGTTGTATGTATATTGGCATAATAACACTTTTTAATAACATTCGCACACTGTTTCAAATATGAATTTAATAACAGATTTTTAAAACATTGTTTACGTAATCAGTATTTTATGCGATATGGTGATCAGAATTTTTAATAATTGCATAAATAATGTGTTAAATAACTTGTTTACGGCTAGTCTTAAAACTAGGGATTAGTTTATTGTAACGCCCTGTATTTTTTACAAACTACTTTTAATAAGCAAATGTATAAAACTGTTTTTCCTAAATTTTACAACTACTGTACAGTTATTTATGATAACTAAAGTAAAAATGCATGAATGATGCCCGTTTTCATCATCAATCCCTAATTAAGTAAATTAAGTGACCCCTATGAAAACAAAATGCCTGTTAAGTGTTACCATAGGGGTCACTTAAAAATTAGGGATTGATGGTGAAAATGGTCATGAGACTTCCAAATTGTGTTTTAAATAAATTAAGTCGCGAGTTTTTAGCTTTTAGTGATTTAGGTTCGAATGTTTACATGAAATAACATGAGATTATGTCGTTAAGTAAACTTCCATTATGGTCTTCAGGTACTTATTGTTAAATAAAGATTTTTCTTAAATTAAATCTGTTTTATTTTTGCAATTTATGGTAATTTTTGACAAAAAAATCTTAGTAAAAAAAAGGTTGACTTGATTTCTTATTTCACTATCTTAAAAGAGTTATTTACAGTCCTAAGCAATTTGATAACATTTCAGTATCTTGGATTTATTTTGTGAATCAATAAAGCATGTGGCAAACAAAGTTTCATAGTTCATCGTAAGATTAAAAATAAAATACTATTAAAATGTCTATACTAAAATAGTTCCGCATTTTTTGTTCTCATCACTAAAACTCGTTCACCTTACCCTTGATTTTCTTGTTCAAATCACTGAATTGATAATGCGGCTGACATCTCCTAATAGCTACCATACCACGTCCATACATCCAAATTATAAGTCGACACGGTTTTGACGCCTCAAATAAATCGCTGCGATTTTTCTATGTAATTGTTAGTGAGTCAGATTCGCACTGGAACGCCGCCCGCTGCCAACTACAACCCGTTTAAATATAGCAGCAATTGACAAATATTCACAAGTACTGTATTCCATTGAGATGCCCGCGATTTTCTTAGTTTCGCAATGATTTCGGTGATATCAACACGAGTTAAGGAACCCGTGAGTGTGTAACGCGAAAACGTGTTGTGCTGTGTTAGATATACGGTTCATATTTGTGCAAAATGATCCGGAAGAGCGCGAGCTGTCAAGTGTATCACCAAGTGACCTCTACCAGCAGTGATGTGTCGACATCTTCCAGTTCATCGTCGGAAATAACAGATACTCCTTTGAGAAAGTAAGTAAAAGTTGTCCTATAGAGTTGTTTGCAAGTGCCAAGTATGTGACCTAACCAAACATGTTGAAAGGGACATTCAAAATGATTTCTCGGTTTCAAAACCAGAGTGATGTAGGATAGCCTATCGATAGATTAAGTATACCCAGGTATAATCCCATTTTCACGCTGCTATCATACAATTCGAGTAAAAAGACATAAAAGTCATCATCAGTTACAAAATAATCTCATCTATAGTAGTGTTGGCTACTAAGGTTGGCTATCAATATTATAATAACAAGTCTTGATATCACAAATAATTCGTAGTTGTGTAGGTACAATTTTATTACTCTAATGAATGAATGGTATAGAAGCGATGTTTGTTGTTATTAAAAAGTAGAGCAGCGAACATAGAACAACGTAGAGCAGATGGTACACACATGTGCGAGACGCGTTGGTTGTCCTCCTAATGAATTAGATGTATGTTATATGTGTAATTGACATATATTACACCTTGATACACTGGTGTAATATCACGATTGGAACTTGGAACAGTATCCAAATCCTTCACCAGTATCTATAATATCATAATGTGTCAATAGATGTTTTGTTGCTCACGCTAACTAAGTAATCGGCCTACTTCCTAACTAGATTTTTCAGCCACTGAATAATTTTGGATGACTAATGATAGAGACGTTAGTTGAATCTAAATAGAAACTAATATGACTCTAATCTCTTCTGATGGTTTTAGTGTTAACATTTTCATCTAATAATTAATTATTGTATAGGTACCTGTCACTCTTACCTACCAACCTATTTACTACATGGAGCTTTTTTTGATTGGCACAATTACGAGAATAGATTTACCAGTAGTGGAGATTATAGCGTAAAATTAGGGAATCATCTAGTAAGTAGGTGCTCCAAGTAGGTATCTCGTTTTTAAAAGTATTAACTGTGAAAGTAGATAATTATGTAGAGTCTGACTGAGTCAATGCATATCACTGATCACGTGCTGTTTTTGACCGTTCGCGTCAAACTTATAAATAGTTTGGAATTTCATATTCGCGGTTAAGGTGACCATAACTGGGTCAACCGGATCCTGTGTGTGGTCACAGAATAAGTAATAGTACCAAGGTGTGGTATAGTATTCTTCTTCTCGTCAAGAAGAAGAAGAAGGTATAGTATTAATTTAACAGTAGTGCCTACTTAGTTGACTAGGTATTTGACTAACCGATGCAGTTGACTGACAAATCAGTATTGCAGGTCGATCACCAGAGATCTGGGTTCGAATCCTAGTTGGAACTTGGGTCAGCTTTGACAGCGTTAATTACGTATCTAACTATAGTTGTACCTAATTAAGAAGACTGTTTCACCAAGCATAAAGGTAGGTATTTTGTACTGATTTCTAAGTATATTTTTACAACTATAGCTATTATCACATACATTAGCCCTTGCGTGAAAAGAACCTAGGACTGGTAGACCAATAAACCCGATTTTCTTTCAAGTTTTGTTTTCGCATTCGCTGCAGTAAGAATAATACAATAATATCTCCTTCCAACCCGTAGGTGTGCCTTAGAACAAATAAGATCCTTGAATACGAAAATAATGTTTCAATCTTTTATTCAAATATGGATTCCAGACGATATTGGATGAATCTGTTTAGTACACCTACATATTATTTATTTTAATAAGGGACAGTCCCTTAAAATAAGTAATATTAAAATTACGTTGCTATTAACTATGGTTGTTATAGATAAGTACGCTATTCTATGGCTATCCTACATGAATTAGAATTTCCAAAAAATCCAAAATTACGTTTTTTTTGGAAATTCTAATACATGTAGGATTTTTTTTCCTTCTTACCTTTGTTGAGGCGTTCTCGGCTGTAGAGGCGGATAAAGCTCTCCGCATGATCTCCCCTCATCTCTTCCTGCAGACTGATTTCTTTTATTAATTTTATTTAATTTTTGCAAAGGTTCAATCGTGTGCTACGTTCGGCTGTAGCGCGCCACTGGTCCTACTTCAAGAAAAACAACCGGTTGAAGACCAGGGGCCGTTCCGTCTCCGACACCGGCATCTGTGACATCATAAATGATGGTAAAGTAATAATATAAAGATAATTTGATTGAACAAGTCCTACTCTATAATTAACACTAAGCCTAGGCGCAGACCACCGACTTTTAGTTGGCCAATAGTTGGGCCCAATTCTAATTTGTATGAAGAATCGGCCAATACCAAATCAGTGTAATGTGCGTACTTTCAAACATCTCTATGATACAGATCATCAGCCCGATCCAACTATCGGCCAACTAAAAATCAGTGATCTGCGCCTACGCTAAACGCAATACATCATTACCTAATAAAACTATACTCAACATCAAATAAACCGCACCTTCATCGACGCGAACTTTAACGATTTTCTTCTGACACAATCATGGTGCCCCAACAATATTGGTGTTATTTGAAAGCCCAATAAATATTCTTAAAGAAAAACACATTTAATTTCTTAATAAATATACCATAAATGTGACTTGAAAAAATACCTCACTTTGGGCCCACCTATGGGATCAATTAGACCAATTTTTATGGTTGTAAAACCAAATAATGATTTCACGTGTCCTCTTTAACAGATGGATAGCGATTAATCACAACTTAATAGTTTTATAGACATAAAAGTTGGCTCTAGCGTAACTACCTATTTTTTGAAGAAGTGACTCTGGATCCTTCTAAAGACACATTTTTGGGGTAAAAACCTTTCCTTTAATGAAATGAAGGTTAAAACTAGGCTTTTAAATGGTGACAATATTGGTGGGAAGTGGGGATGCATACGTTTGAAAATGCTTGTCGCGGGAGGTGCGATTTATTTGATGTCGAGTGTATAAACATTTAATCAGAGATAGAGCACTATTGAAAACATCAACGCCGTGTTTTATGTAGGTACGAGACTAATATTAGATTTGTGATTACTATTTATAAGTTTGATTTTTGAACTAAGCTGAATTCTTACTTGAAACGTTAAGGCCACAATAAAGTAAGCGCAAATCACTCAAATGGATCGACTTTCAAAACTATAACTTCGTTTTAGAGTGTCTCACCTCACGTCTCGCTAGCTAGACTCATTCAAATGTACAAAATGGCCTCCCTCTATGTATCTACCTGTGTACTATGTCTTTCTATGCTTTCAGACTGGCAGCTGGCCTACTTGGATATCCCTGGGGGCACCCAGAGGCGGTCTCTACAAGTGTTTGGCCGGACGCCATCAATCGCCGTGCCCTCACTCTATGTCACGTGAGTTTTCTGTTCCATTTCCATAGATATTATTTACTGTCTTTCCCGAAAACTATAATCCGGCCTTTTCAAGGCGAGAGTGAATAGGCACTTACAGGGCAGATATGTACCATCCTAGACCGCATCCCACTTAACATCAGGTGCGATTGTGGTCAAATACCTGCCTTGTTATGCATAAAAAAAAAAGTTACACATTTGTTAACATCGCCTCTGACTGAAAAATAAACTAATTCCAAATGGTTTCAGTGACTTTTAGCCATATTGTATGCGCCTACGCCTAGTGGCCTATCTACAACTAGATAAAACTAAGGTAGAATGAAAAAAGTTTTTTTAATAACCTATTTCATATTTGGCGACTAAGTATCTCTTATTAGGCATCTTTATAAAGTCATAATAACTAGGCCTATGAGAAAATAGTTTTCACGAGGCAAATGAAAAACAACGCTCTGATTGAAATATCGCTGTTTTTCAATTTTTTTGCAACTGCGCTCCTGACGTAAACTGTTGTTCTTGCTCTTCCAAGAATTAATACGCAAATATTATACAGGGTGGAATTTTGTAATGCCACGTGGAGGGAAAGTACTCATAATACTGTAGATAGATTATTTTACTCTAAGAGAACATTCCTTTATTTTTGAAAAGAAAGAGAACTGCATTCAAAGATTTCCAACAGCTTGCTACACCCGGGAATCGAACCAACTAAAATATATTAAAAATGATTTTGAATTTGGACCAAAATGGATGATTCCTTTTCTATCTACTGTATTTTAAGAGTACTTTCCCTCCAGGTGGCATTACAAAATTCCATCCTGTATATGATAGATTTTTATTTTCTTATCCATACAAGAATTATTTTAGATAATTAATCGTGTAGAGACAGGACACGTAAACCGAACTGCGTACCTACGTAGGATTTTAAATAATCTGCGTCCAAACATGTTTACATGATATATTTGAGCTCGTGCGCATCTTCATCTAAAATCTCATTCGATGGTCCCGAAGCAGGTGTGTGAAGGTAGTCCAAACAATCTTATTGATAGTGTCGTTGTATGCTATGATTTAGGCGTCTGGCATTGAGAGACGATTCTGTTTAAAGGTATTAATATCTGGTTACTTTTGTATGAGCCAAACAGAGAGAGGGCTATAATATAACTAGGTTTGCATAGCAATGCTATACGGCATTAAGTTCGCCTTTTGCATACTGTATTTTTTTGTGTAAACAATAATTATCTACTGAGAAACAGTGCACTGACAAAGCTTTTCAAAGCTGACCTTAATTAAAAATGACCGTATGATAGATAAAGGTCGACTCTACCAGATACGAGTATTAACTGTTTCCATAGATATTCTTCACTTTGCAATAAAGATATTTTTACTCAAATCGCTACTTATTGTATACAAGCCCGGTTTCTGTATAGAAATGTTTGATTTCAGCTCTTTTATTCAAATAATATGAACTGACTTTTCCTATGGAGCACGTACTTTATTTGTCAGAAAAAATAACGTACCTATTCTATTAGCGCAGACTAACGCCCGTATTCAAATTCAAATTCAAAATATTTATTTCTTACTAAGTGACAATTTGTAATGGTGTAAATTACTTAATATACAGGAGCTTAAAAACTTAGTTACCTGAGTGGTATCGCAATAGAGTAGGTGATTATTTAAACATTAATGGTAGTATTATTAATATTAATTAACTATAATAAGTAATATTATTATTAAACAACTTATAAGATAACTACAATCTAAGTAGGATTAAGGTTGATAACTAATTGACTATAGTAGTTGGTTACTATAATATTTTTTATGGTCTATTGTTAGGTATTCACAAACATTACTATGCGGTTTCACAGTGCTCATGGACGCACAGAGTCACACACGAACCAATCACAGAGCTTTATTAAATGCAGTGCGTTCGATTTACGCAAGCATCGTTTGTGAATAGATACGGGTGTAAATCCCCTGCTTTCGATGCACATGCATGCGTATGTGTTATATTGATCGTCTGCCCTTGACCATTCTCTCGCTTCGATCTCTGGCACAAGAATTTTCCTCGTCGCTTTTTCCTCGTAAATAATGCGTTGTAATCTCACAAAATGAGCGCTGAGATTTAAATCCAACATCTTTTGCTCCATTTCAAAAGTATCGAATCGTTATTTTATGACGTGTCTTTTTATTTTGTAGTTCTCGTAAAACTGCTTACGAATAGGAAATGAAATGACTAGAGTAGGTTCATCACTATTTAAACTTCTAATTTCGTCGAAAGCTGCATACAAATTGAATCCAGAATACATAGAGCTTTTAAGCTTTCCTCCCTTTACATAGTATATTCGTGACTACATACAGTCTTGTTTAAACTAAAATGTTTAGATAATGTTTAATATCTACCTACCTAAGCAAGCATGAACATTTATCTGCCATTAAAGGATATCGTTCGGTAGAGTCGTTCTTTATTTATTTATACTTTAATGCCACAAAAATAGTAACATAAGGCGAACTTAATGCCATTGGGCATTCTCGGCCAGTTAACCTTCTGGCTAAACAGTTGTTTTATGTAACTACCATTAATTAAGTTGTGTTTTATCATAAATATAAATCTACTTATTTAGTTTTTGTAGAACATCTTAGTAAGTAGTTACGTACTTTAAAGTTGGTCGCCCAAATCAAAAAATCTTGATTGATATTAATGTTACTTACATACGCAACAATGTAAGATTTTTTACGAATTAGTACCTACTTACTCACGAACTGTTTTGCAAACAAGAATACGCTTTCTCATTGTATTTAGCGTGATATCTCATCCATGACTCGTTATGAATGAAAATTTCATTCATTAGAATCATTAGGAGTCCAAATTGATTCAAAACTATGTAGGTGATCTGGTCATTTACAACAGTTATACTTTAACAACAACGATCACATCATTTAGTTTTCATACTTTAAGATATGCAAGCATATTGTATTTTACCAAAGAGCCTCTCTTACATCTTTTTTTGTTTCTTTGGTTAAAAGCACCGCCAAATCATTTTTTGCTTAAAAAAGTAGAGAGTGCCTTAATTTAAGGTATTAATTTCGCTTTAAGTAGCATTAAATATTAAATAAATACTTACACAATTAAACAGTTTTAAATACAAAAAGAAATTTTATAAGTAAACTTTTTTCATAACACTAGCACTTATCGTTACACTGTGCACTGTACGAATGCAAATAAAACAAACTATTGAAACTATACATGCAATAATAGAATAGAAAATAATTTTCATAAAAGGGTTGGTAACTTACATTTACAGTATACGGTGATCCTAACATAGAAATACAATCCGTCATGTAACAAAGCTTAATTTATTTTTCCCGCTGTTTCCACGACGCCCTTTATACAAGTCAAGCGCTCTTTAAACCCACGTTTACAACGTTACAAAATGAAATTGCCGCCACTTTTCCTATCATACATATGATTGCAATCAATATCGTGCGCAATGTACCACTGCGCATGTTTCCCTAGGATTCCAGTACGTTTACGCAACACTATGCCTTATTTGTGAAGGTTAAGGTGCGAAATCAGTGTACAGTTTCCGTATATTTCAGATGACAGCTCCGCGGCTTGTTGGACACAGTGTGCATGTGAATTTTAGCGAGAATTATCTAATTTCTATGATTATTTTTGTTATTTCTTGTATTAAAAAGTGTTTGTGAGTGCCATTCGTGAAGATACAGTGTTACAGTGACGAAATAAGGGTGACAAAAGAGAAAACCTATAGTCGTATTTACCTTAGGATTTATGATAGATTTCGGTAAATTTTCAGAGATTGGTCCAATTTTACTGCTTCAGATTATTGTGTTGGTAAAACTACATGTGAATTTAACTAAAGTTTAGTCAGAAGTCTGATGATTAGTTATTCAATTACATTTTGCGTCACGTCATCGCGTGAAAATCATCATTTTAAAATGATGCGTTTCGTAAAAAATGTAGCTATTTATTGAGTATGGTAGTCCTTTGACTCTACATGTAATTTTTTCGTGATCTAATTTCTACGATTTTTCATTTTTATGACAAAATAAAACTGGAATTTAGATTTATTGTTGTTGTATCTCCAATTTTTCAGGCAGAAATTGTATTCATTGTAACAATCGGACTCTACCAAATTATAATAGGTACATATTCTTAGAACAAGTATAAAAATCTTATTAACCACAATAACGTGAGCCAAGTGCATTGGTTAAGTAAGTTAATATGGAATTGAGTATTTTTACATGAAAATGTTCCGTTGTTACGCGTATTATTGGAATTTGTGTTGTCAGTAGAATACTGAGTTGACTTCACTGTTCCGCATACCACATGACATTAGAACATAATTGTAGTTTATATTTAATCGATTGATGAATTTGTTTACTCAGCAGGTTACAAACTCGTACTTACTCAATTATTTATTAATACTTTATCAATATAGAAAAACTATTTCAGTGATCAAGTGAAAAAAGTCCAATAATAAAAGATAGACAGCGTATTTTATTTTAATTTCAGGTCCCTAAGAAATTATAAATTAACGAAGAACGTTGTATTTTGTTTTTCTTTGAATACTTTAGATAAAATAATTTTAAAAAACACTGATATTGAGAATGTTACAGCTCCCTGAATTTTCTCACGAAAAGTGTTCCAAGTCCAACTACCGCTATGGACTACATCGCTCACCTAGCAGTATAATGACACATCTACATTTTTCTTATTTTACAGAAATGAGGGTCAAAGATTTTACAAATGTTTGAAACGAAGTTATGAGTTCATTTTACATTTTATCGTGGATTTTATGGTTTTAGCAACTAGTATAGACCTTAATAGATACTTAGGGATAAAAAAATCCAGTTCAGGTTTCCAGGAGTTACTTCATAGCAGTCAAAGAAGAAGAAGAACCATGCAATTGTGCCGTTATACTTTTTGACAACTACCAAAAATGACATATATGCCCCAAAGCCATAATTAAACAGGATGTGAAAACTAGAAATAAAGACAATTTGGTTGATAGAAAACAAAAGTTTTTATTTGAAATCAACATACAATAAAAAGTTTAACTAAAATATTATAATAACCTATATTTCGATACCTCTGGGCTCAAAGTACGACTTTTCAGGAGAAGCAAAAAACGATTATATGTATTATACTACATGTACTGTACCATGCTAACTGTACTAAAAATCAAATGGTATTTACATCCCAATTTTCACTATGAATTCTGTTTAGCTTATCAAATATGATGGGTCGTAAAGGCACTTTTTTTGAGAATTTGGACAAACTAAATATACAGATCGATAGAGAATTAAATTTTGAGTACAACTGTATAAAAAACTCATTTTCGGTATTTTGTCCTTTACGATCTTTGAGCCCAAAGGTATCGATTTGGCTCGTGATTCGTTAAGAAATAGGCAACATCAAACTATAACAAATAAAATAAAGTTTAATCATGTATCTTCTCTTGTCAAATGTACCGTTTTTCTACTAACTTACTAAGTTAATAAAATGTCACATTTGCCACTTACGCCAACACAGATTTTGAATTGATTGCACCTCGCGGAGCGCCCCGCACAACTGACAAATAAGCCGTTGTTATGCGCGGAAGCAGGGGGAACGTAGCAAGTGGTACAATGACACTGAACGCCCTCTCTCGACAAATAGTAAAACTAACACCGTGGCGTTTTACCACTTTATAAATTATACACTCTTAAACACTTAGGCCGTAAAAACTCAATTTCGCTTTTTTGGTAAATGTGCCATTATACTGCTAGGTGAGCGACATTTATCCACAAGTACTATTATTAAAATTAAATCTAACTTGTAATCGATTGTAATCCAATGAGCGTAAGGCTTCCCTTCCTACTGACCAAGATGCACTGCCTTCCGCAGTTTGATGCAACGACATTAAGTTTTACGTAAGAGAGAATTATTATAAGACAAATTGGATAAATAAGATTATTGGTAAAAGGAAGATAATCTTTTGTTACGAACTTTCGAGTCGCGTTTGAATTTGAACGAAAGCAATTCAACTAGATAAGCAATCGATTGAGATGACTGTATGCCTTTCTTATACGTTTTTTTAATCGAATCTTACGACTGCCTGCTTGTTGGTATCTAACGTTGACATTACATTTACTATATGCAATAGAAGAAATTGCTATTGCAATTGAGATAATGTACCCACCCTAACCCAGCATGAGGAGCCGCCTTTAGACTCTTAAAAGGTTTCTAAAGTTTAGAGAATCACGCTCCTGTAGTATGTAGAGACTAGATGACCTGATGATGACGATAATGTTAATGAATTTCAATTTATTTTCGCGAAATCTAAATGTGAATGAACTTTGATACAGTATAAAGAACCTATTAGAAGAGAACGTATTCTTACCAAAAATATAGAGCAGTCCTTTATTATTACTTAATCCGATTGTTTTAGTCGAATCTCTCCAGCATCATTTTGATAGAGAAAACTCTTGAACTTTGCTACGTTGCACGCGTTGTTTTCATATTTAATTTCATGGATTGACATGTAAATAATATTAACAACATTCTGGCGCCTCACCGTTGGCAATTACGCCAAGTATTACAGACAAAAGCATATTTTGGCAAATCACTTACACTCCGCCTACTCTGTAGACGTTAGCGTAGTTTTTCAACACAATTTGAATGAAATTGTATTTATTTTGAAAATAGACACCACTAATTTCAAAATGAAGTCGGAATACCTGAAAATGTTCCAAGCAAGCGCCCCCGACAAATGAGATGAGAGATTATCCGCCGTTTTTATAGTCAGAAAGTGTGTGTTAAAAGTGTACATCAAATATCAAGTCATTAGTCGCCTGAAGAGAATATTTCGGTGAGTTGACTGACATTCGAACATTAATTAGTGCAAGTACTTATGTTTTGTGTTTCGTTAATGGATACTGTAATACGTAGTAATAAATAGCGTTTAATCATTAAACTTTAATGTATAGGATAGTTTGTCATTGGTACACCCATCATTTTTGGTTAAAGGATGGTCAATAGAAAATTAATACAAATTGAGTTTATTAGCTCTAACGATTTTTGTAAAGATGATTATTTATAAAGTCAAATTTGTTTCAAGACTTTCAATAACCGTAAAAAATGTTCATCCATTTGCATTGCATGCCTATAACTCCAAATGCAAATCCGTTCAAAATAAGTAATTCATATTTTTGCAATTTTATGTTCATTTCATTGTAACTTAAACCTACATGATATCCTCATTATTATACTACGATAATACCCTACACATTTAAATGTATTCTTTTGTTTTACCGTCCATTGCATAGGTTATGGTGCTTCTATTTATGGGTTTTACAAATATGTTATGGTAGCCAATCCAGCATTGTTATTTCTAGGTCCCATGGCATGGCGTGAATCTTTATAGCCACCAAACCGGATTTAGCCGGTTTGCTCCGCTTGCGACTTTTTGAGAGCTTAAAACATGCCAAGGTACTAAGTGCATTTAGTGCCTTTTGCCTGTGATACGGATTTCGGATCAGGGGGGCTACTCCGAAACGCTATTACGTAGTTCTAGGTCTGCTGTCACTGTTGCTCATACAGGCATCTCGCTTTACGTGAGAGGGATGGCAGGCGAAACTTCACATGCGAAGTGCCCGCATTTCATTATTCAATACAATGATTTTCGTAAGCGGGCTGCAAGTATGCAACCAGCAGCGTGATTATACGCACGCTGTAGATTAGAGAGACCAGCTGCGCGCGGTGATATACTTTATCGACATCAAAATGTATGGGCAAAATCGATAAAATGACGTGATAACCGCTTATCGCGCATCCTAGGCCTACAGATCCGCATGCGTGTCGAAATCCGCATTACAGGAAAAAGGCTTTCGATTGCATGTGCATGTTGCATTTGGTTTTAGAACCGATCCGCTTTGAAAATTACGATTTTGCTTTGATGGTGAATTTAGATTTGCTAGTTTTTATAATTCAATTATAACTGATACTTTATAGAGCTTCATATTTCCCTATTATTATTGTTATCGTAGTCAGTATTATCTTTGTGTTATTGACTGTTGTGAATATTTGAATTACTCTACCTACTTATTTCTGTTGTTATTCTAATGTATTTTTATGCTAATTCTGTAATGTGACATGAACTTGTTTGTCTTTTGACCTGTGTGTTTATAAGTTACTTGTTCATATAAATTAGTTAGGTATTACCTATATTTGACAAATCTATTGTAAATCATTTAGATATAATATCTTTCTTGCTACCTACGATTCTTTGTTTTTCTTCATTGCCTATACTCCGTTAAGTTGTACACAATATGTAGGTACATATTAAATAATAGGCGGTAATAACTGACCTTCAATGCCAGGAATGGCAGTAACATACTTGACAGTTATTGGTATTCGAAATTGACGATTGAATTCTGTGTAGGCGTACAAACCGGCAGGTAAAGGAATGCTTCTAAAATTCCCAGCATAGACTATTTAGAGAATGTAAGCTAGTTCATTTGATTGGCTGTTAATGCAATTAACCGCGCGTTACGCAGGTTCTTCGTTCGTTAGTTCGTTTCAGCCAAATGACGTCCACTGCTGGACATAGGCCTCCCCCAAGTATTTCTACAACGACCGGTCCTGCGCCGCCCGCATCCAGGCACCTCCCGCGACCTTCACCAGGTTCTTACAAAACTTTTATAAAGTAATATGTTTTGTAGTATTTGTAAACACATTGAAATACAAAACAAATTGATTTGTACCGTGCGATGTAATGTTAATTAGGGTTGGCCACTCATGCAAACTATAAGTTAATTTGACACGATTATTTTATCACTATGCCATTGTACCTAAATTATTGGAATTAATAATTTAACACGTGGCTGTGGTGTGGCGTGAGCAGACCTCTCCACGCATAGCTTGACAGATAAGCAGTAGGTATCTATGATGAAATCTTTTTGGTTTCTCTGAACATGAAGTACAGTCAGCATCAAATAGTTTCGTGACACTCAAAGTGGCCAAAAAGTTGACAACACAACCTTATTCCAAATGTGAGAAAGAAGTTGGTGTCACGAACTTTTTGACGCTGACTGTACCTAAAAATACTGGCCTGCTCTCTTATGATTTGTCGCTCCGAAGTGTGAAATTCCCACTGAGTGACACGCTAACCGTAACAGGATGACGTCAATTTTCAAGCAACTTTTATAATGCTCTACATAGGCTAGATCTGCTAGATGATGACGCTAACTTAATTAAACCTTCGCTCTTTGAATCGCGTTTGAGTGGCTGTCTCTACTCTAGGTCTCTTTGCCACCAAGAGTGATTCGAACCGTGGTCAGAAACGCCCAAGAACTTTTTATAGCTTGATTGATTCCAAACTTCCAAAGAGATAAGTTTTCCATAAAGTGACCGACGACCTGAGACGGGCGGTAGCAAGAAGGCGCTGGATGCAAGCCGCCACGAACAGGCCATTGTGGAAATCATTGGGGGAGGCCTATGTTCAGCAGTGGACGTCCTATGGCTGAAATAATGCTGATCATGAAAGTGTCGATTGATTTAAGCTATTTACACCGCTCCAAGTCTGTATAGAGAAAATCCCCATTCTTGAGCGACTCGCGCTCCGAATCACTCGTTGCGCGAAACCCCTATAGACCCATTTGAGGGCCGTTTTCGTTCCATTGCTCTCAGTTTCGAATGTTCAGGTTGTTTAGTAAAGGAACAGGTTAACTGACAGTTACCACGTGTGTAGGACGGCGGGTGGCTCGGGCAGCGTTGCGGGCGAAGACGCGAGCGACGGCAGTGACGCGGAGCGTCCGCGTCGTGGCCACCACTTGCGAGTGCCCACGCCCGCGTTCCCGGGACAGTGAGTATACATCAGAACAGTATACACTACAACAAGACAACAGTTATATAATACATTCACAGTTATATAATACAGTCGGCAGCACATTATTTATTGTTGCTGCAAAATTGCACCTTCTACATTCACGGTCACATTTAAGACTGCTCACGCCCGCGTTCCCGGGACAGTGAGTATACACGACCACAGTATACACAACAACAGTTAAACTTTACTACATTCGGCAGCACTTCATAAATTGTAGCTTGCTGCAAAATTACACCTAATATGCTAGTACTTGCGAGTGCCCACGCCCGCGTTCCCGGGACAGTGAGTATACACTACAACAGTATACACAACATCAAGACAATAGTTATATTATACAGTATACTACAGTCGGCAGCACATTGTTGCTGAAAAATTGCACCTTTTAAATTCACGGTCACATTTGAAACTGCTCACGCCCGCGTTCCCGGGGCAGTGAGTATAGCAACAGTATACACTACAACAGTTTTTATACTACAATCGGGGACAAATTACTGTTAAAAATTGCACCTTCAACATTCGCGGCCACCACTTGCGAGTGCCCACGCCCGCGTTCCCGGGACAGTGAGTACCTTACACCAACATCAGTACCTATACATAACAACAGCTGTTATACAATACTACAGTCAGAGTAAATACAAATGAGTAGGTCATCTTCATAGAAACGCACCGAGCGCGGTTTGTATGTGAGCGCGCCAATACGTATGCGACGCACACGCACACACTGACAAAATTCGGCCTACCTTACCGCTAATCACCACTAAATTTTGTCAGTGTGTGCGTGCGCGCCGCATACGTATTGGCGCGCTCACATACAAACCGCGCCTGTGCGTTCCTATGAAGATGATCTTCTCATTTGTATTTACTCTGCTACAGTTAGCAGCATATTCTACTTGGTCTTCCAACTTGTCCAGGGAGGGGCATTAACTCCACAGCAGCTGAATCCGTCGAAGTAATTTGTGAAAATCACACACCTTCTATAAACACACCGGTCAGGACTTCACAAAAACGTTTCGCATTTGCTCACTTACGCTATAATTATGCCCCGTATTTCTATGAGTATTCCTAGCATTTACCTAGTTTTTCACCAAGCTGTAGAATTGCGATGGTTCCAGTTGATTACCCAAAAAACACAATCTTAAGATATAATGCACCTTGCAAAAACCCTATCGAAAAATGAACTGTGGACTGTAAACGAATATTTACCAATCAGAAACCAACCTAGTTAACGCAAACCGCAAAAGCCGAGAAAAAAAAAACAACATAGTTAGGTAGTTATGCCTTTACGGGATTAAACCCACCACTGCAGCTTCTGTAAGCCAAGATTTAGGTACAGTTATTATCAGGCACATCCTTTCCTTTAAACAAACAAAAGCCACAATCTACGTGTAGGTACTATCAGAGGAATGCTTCAGCGATATGCAAATAGACAATACTTAATGACCACTTTCATATTTTATCAGACGCGCTATTTGCACATGTTCCATTATCTCATTAGGCAAATATCTAGGTAATTCCGTCGACAATACGGGAGATTGTTTTCAGTTTGCTATAACCTTTGTGTGGTTTGGTTGTATTTTATAGTACGTATGTACTCGTATTGTTGGTTTGGTGGAAATCGGGCCTCACTTGTGGTGTGAAACGCGTTAAGATTCATTTCAGTAGATACCGTTGTTCTCAGTTTTGAATGTGTGAATGAAAAATCAGAAACTTCCGACGTCTTGGTGAACTTTGAGACTTTAAAATGACTCGTGAACGTGGTTAGAGATGAATGTAGAACTCTATTACATGATGATGACTGAACCTATAAATTTAAATGAGGAGACCAAAAGGGAACGTTCGCACAGCAATCCAGGGAGATCTGTGAGGTTTGCTCTCAGACGAGAGAGTCTTCCATTATCTGGTATCAAAGAAGTATGGTTAAGGAGTAAGAGGAGTATTTCACCAGAATCTTTTTCGTGGAGAAGAAGGTAAATTATTTTTTTATTTGGAACTAGTATTTAGCAGTTTATGTGTCATGTTGAAGTGATCGAATTAATGGACTGATTCCATTGGCAGGGAAAGCAATGATATTGGTAATGAGTAAAGTTAGTGCTACTAATAATAAACTACGTATTGTCAATTAAGTAGGTAGGTTATGTTGTTATCCTCATTGCCTTTAAAAGTTACTTCGTTTACTTCATGCCGAACAGTTTTCATTCAATAAGTAACGTTATTTTTATAATTTTTCATTGGACAATACCAATTTATTGTTTGTTTTTCCTTAATCAACATAGCTACACGTAAACGTTTTGGACAGGATAACTATTGTTATAATTTGTACTTCATTTAGTTTATTACTCCGAATTCGAAGTCATTACAAAACACAACAGTACAATCAAGCCAAAATGTTTTATCTAACGCTATTGTATCAGATTGAGTATTGTTGAACATCTGTTTCTGTTGTTATCTTATTTATATTTCTGTTCGTCGAGAGCCTGTTGTTGATAAGAGGTTTTGAATTGGGATTAATAACAACCATTTACTGTAATGTTTCAAGCGTTTGGTAGGTCTTCATGCTACGGAATCGTGATGTTATGTATTTAGGGATTATTTCTTGAAAAAATGTGTATTTCTATTGCCGTTAGGTAATAACAAAAAACATGTCTACCAACAGATATAAAATTTAAAATGAGAATCTACATTTGAAATGTGTTTTGTGTTGGGGATTTTAACAATAGATATAACTACTTATGCTCATGCAATAAGCTTACAATGTTTACAGATTGGGTAACTAATTACTAATTAATTATTGCTGTCATAACACCAAGTAAGCCTTTGCAAAAGGAGGCAGAGCATGATCGTCCGTTTCTTTATCCAGCTCTCTTATTCAGGTCGTCGGTTCATCAAGCTAGTGGAACGAGTGGTCTGCGGTCCTATTCGTTCTAATTCATATACAAAATGATTAGGCATTTGTATAGTCCAGTCTTTCCCAAAGTGGGCGATAACGCCCCCTTGTGGGCGCTGCAGGTTTAAAGAGGGGCGGTAAGAGACCCAGAAAAAAAAATCGGGACATTGTGTAGAGGCTTGGGAGGCGTCATCTACTAGGAGGATTCTTAGACACCGACTGAGCTCGACTCTTGACTACAAAAATGGGGGGCGCTAAAAAATATTTTATTCTCAAAGTGGGCAGTAGACTAAATAAGTTTGGGAACCGCTGGTATAGTCGATTTAAAAGTTACGTTTCTATTTCCAACTCAGTATTAACTACCATTTTTCAGATAACAATCTAAGCTTTGAGGCCATTAAAATAATAACCTTTATTATTTTCCCTTATATCAGTTTCATCTTCGGCTTTTTCCGAATAATTGACCTCCTATTGCTGATCGTAGAATGTACACGTGCCGTGTCTTATAATACATTTTCATCCACGTGTTTCGTCCTTAAATGGCCCAGACATTATTATTTTTCTCCCATTAAGTAAGTTTATTTCTAGACTAGCTTTCCGCCCGCGGCTTCGCCCGCGTGGAATTTTGTCTGTCACAGAAAAACTTTATCGCGCGCGTCCCTGTTTCAAAAACCGGGATAAAAACTATCCTATGTTCTTTCCCGGGACTCAAACTATCTCTATGCCAAATTTCATCAAAATCGGTTGCGAGGTTTAAGCGGGAAAGCGTAACAGACAGACAGACAGACAGACAGACAGAGTTACTTTCGCATTTATAATATTAGTTGGGATAAGGGGTCTCTTTTATTGCGTGAGTTTTGGCAAGCAAAGCTCTTTAAGCAAGGTGGACGGACTGGAATTGCAATGAAGATGATGTTTCTCTATTCAGATTCACCAACGTCGTCTTGTCATCATCAGTTCAATCTGTTTACTTTCTTCCTCTGTTAAAAATAAATAAATATGCGACGGTTGAGGCTGTCATCATGATGCATTGGTGGAATTAAATGAAGTAAGTAGGTATTAATTAAAGAAACAAACGACTAGGGCTAATTTTGGTTAATAGGCTGTAGGATGGTTAAATATTTATTAAAAGAAGTACTAAACAAACAAACGACTAGGGCTACTTTTGGTTATTAGGCTGTGTAGTTAAATATTTATTAAAATAAGTTATTAAATAAATAAACCACTAGGCCTACTTTTGGTTAAGCTGTACATAAAGTTAAATATTTATTGAGGGATATCTTCCTGACCTTATGATGAAGTTTCAACTTTTTGAAACGTGCGCAGCTGACGTTTGAATCATTGTTTATCGGCGTGCCGCTGAAATAAATATGTTACGTCAGTTATCAGATTCCGAAAGAACTGTGTTCATAAAAACAGTGGCAAAATAAACTGTCAGATTAACTTTGTTTTATGGCTGCATGAAATATGCGAGTTGCCTATTAGTATAAAGGCCTAGGTTGGGTTTCATGAAAACCTATATCTGAAAATGTCTGAAATTCCTGAGTGGCCTGAAATTCGTACAAACTTTAGGTAAGGTTCCTGAAAACATCCTGAAACTCGGTTAGGTAGTGAAAGAGAATTTATTAGTTACCTATAAAGACCTAGATTAGGTTACATGAAAATCTAGATCTGAAAATGGATATTCCTCTAACTGTTAGGTCAGGTTCCTGAAAACATCCTGAAATGCGGTTTGGTTCTGAAAGATCCTAACTCGATGAGACCTAACAAGACCTAGGTTAGATTTCATGAAAACCTATCTGAAAATGTCCGAATTTCCTGAAATATTTAAAATTCCTGATATCATTTTTTTCTGTTTTTGGGTCTGATTTTAACATTTATAAGTTTGATGCTCGAGCATTTTTAAGTATAATTGGTCCATTACCTCCATTATATTGATAAGTTTGCATTGCTTATTTGTAAACAAACATACGTAGTACGTGGAACTTGTTTGTTACATGATTTCACAGTCGATTTGATATCGAGGCCCCGCGGCACGTGCTGTTGTTGGTCAATAGAAATGTTTAGCCGATTAATTTCTATAGCGAAATAT